TAGAAAGACGAATAGAGATGAGACGTCTAAGAGATGCACAAAATCCATTTGACCTTCCTTCCAATGAATTTTTAAAACATTTCCGATTAAGTCCAGAACTTGCTATGGATATTGTCAATACACTGCGTCCACGATTGGAAAGAGAAAGAATTCATGGCTTATTACCAGAAGTAAAAGTATTAGTAGCAATTAATTTCTATGCTAATGGAAGCTACCAAAATCCAGTTGGTGCAAATATGAACTTGATAGTTAGTCAACCATCTGCTAGTCGTTGCATTCGTATGAAAAGAAAAGTCTTTCAAATACTAATATGAGAAAAGATTGCATTAAGTAGTGTTGAAACTGCTTTTTAATAAAGAGCTATTGAAAAACTATGAACTTCGCTGCCGTGAACTACTATTTTTAATTTGTATCCTTTGTATCTTTCAGTGTTCACACACTCATCTTAAAAAAATGTGAAATTTCATTGGTTGAAAACAGTTATGCCGAATAGGGCATTGTCGCTAGCGTAACGATGTCGTTAGCTCGTTTTGTATCGATAGGGTGTCGCTAGGAGCAGTTACAGAATACGCCATTCGTTAAGCTGTCGGTAGAACAAGCGACGACCATCGGTAACGTAACGATAACGACAGCTGCCATCTAACAGTAACCGCTAGCGGCTTATGCACTCGAGATGGGAATACCATATGGCAGTGACGTGAGAAGACACAGGAAGAGATAGAAGTCTAAAACCGTCAAAAATCATTTAAAATCAACTAAAACCGTCTAAAACTGTTTATAACCTGTTAAGTCGTCTAGAAACGAATAAAAACGCCTAAAAACGCTTAAAAATACCATGAAACGCCTAGAAATGCATAGAAGCACCACAAAACGTCAAAAATGCATATTTCCTCTGAAAGAAACTCGCTCGAGAGATCATCAATCTAAAGAGAACAACCTTCCCCGTCGAGCTACTGTGATCGCAAGTGCAAAAAAAATTCACCGGGGACCGAACAACCCAAAAACCTGCTGAAAAAGTCATGGACCCCTCACAAAAGCTTCATACCCTGTATCTGCCATCGCGATTGCACGAGACCCCACCAGAAATATGTTGCGCCGCCACTAAGGGGAAACAGGCTTAAAATAATATTAATTTTTCAAACATTTAATACAAAAAAAAGTAATGCAATNGTGATAGGCTCATTTTATTTTATTTTTTAACAGTTGATTACTGTTTATAATTATCTTTGTATGTTAGTATTGTTATGCCCATACTAATCAGTACCAAACAACTAGTTAGCTCTATGCTACGTAACTGTTAGGTTATTACATTGTAACAAACGTTATGTTATTTGTTAGTTTTATGTTACGTAACTGTTAGGTTATTACATTGTAACAAACGTTATGTTTTTTGTTAGTTTTAAGTTACGTACCTGTTAGGTTTGGTGTTCAGTGGGAAATTCGTTGCGACGCCTTCGGGGTAATGCATTAGACGTTCGCATCCAGCACTAGAGGGCAGCGCAGGACGCGATCGCGCGACCCTCCCCGTGAGCAATCTCCCAACTCATCTCTGTTACACTCTACTTCATGCTTTGGCGAGACTGGCGTTTATGCAGGGAGGTGACACTCTAATCGGTGAAATTATATGCTGTTTGCAGCGCCATCTGACCTAGTAGACGGAAGTGAAGAACTAATTTTGCGCTTGCACGTTACTCATTAACCAATGTCATCTGTATTATTTCCTCAGAACCCTGGACATCTATGATTTTCATTTTGTACCTTCTAGTCAATCTACCTTCTTTTATTTATTTCAAATGTTTAAATCATTACAGTTTGAAATAACCTACAATAGCGTTAATAGCTGCTATTATAATAGCGTGTAATGAACTTTAACAATAAATAATTACTGTAAAAGTGTATCTATTATTTATATTCTTAAGAAACTCAGTATATTGTCAGTGCGATCTTTGTTACAATAAAATAAAAATTAGTTCACATTTCGTTCCTATATTCATTTCGTTATTCCTAAAAATATCTTTTTCTTCCTAAAAATGCGAAATTATTCTACATTTCAAATACAACGCAGAGCCGTAGGAAGGTATATATGTAACTTGGTAAGTCAAATGTAAATAACATTACTGTAGGTTATATTTCTTTGAAACTCATAGATTATTATAAAAGAAAAATTTTTAATTTATCTCATTATTATTCATTACGAACCCGATCGATCTGAAAATAATTTTTTCAAATCATATTGCATTAATTTAAAGTTTATAATTGATAAGAAATGATTATAACTAAATTATAAAGTTAGAATTTTAAAGAAATTATTATATCTGTGAGATTTGAAGCTAATAAGTTACCTAACCTTATTAACTGCAAAATTTACAGTAATATTAGATCATTTTTTCTTAAATAACAGTTTCTGACTTTTATTCAATATAAATTTATGGCGGGAAATTTGCTAGTTCATACTTCCGGTACTATAGATCCAGAGGTCGCTGCAAACACTAGTCCTGAAGAATAACATGCGAGTGTCAGTCCCCTGCGTTTATGGAGACTTCTGAACTGTTTGATTTACGTTGGCGACAGTGCTCCGAACTCATCTCCGATGATCTCCGATTTGCAGCTGCAGAAGTGAAAAGAGCAAGTGTGTATTTGTATGTCGAATTTCTGAAATGTAAATAACAATTAGTGGAGTACGGTATAACATAATATGGCACCTACAATACAAAGTAATGGAAGTACTTCTGACAGAGATAAACGTCCTCCGAGACCGGCAGAGAAAAGGTTTGTTTAGCAATAACCTTACTTTATTTAAGACATACAATTACAGGCAAAAGTGAACTTTGCAGCGTATTTCTTCCTTGAATTGTATATGCCTGTAAATGTCGTCGTATTTCGTGGCACAGGTAAATCTCGTATAAAATACGTTGAGAACGTTATTTTAAATTGTACATCTTTTTCACTTTTACATTGTTTAATGCCATTTGGTTCAAATGGACCCTTGGTAAAATGTGAAGGCAATATATCACCGCAAATTTGTTTGTATAATTTATGTGTTTACATAATTACAAACAGCAAAAAAGTATAAAAGACGGATTTACAAATGAAAAATGAAAATCGGTTTGAGTCTAAACGGCCCCAATAAAAACATCGGCTTAGTATGCGTACGAAACATTTGGTACATGTACTAATCACGCTGTATAAAATTGTTAATGCAAAGGATGGTATATTGTCTTGGAATGATATTTACAAAAAAGGTGTGTCACGCTATCTTGGTATACCATTACGTACACTCGGAGTTTAATAGAAAGTACCTTTAGCGTGTTTTTGGTATGTGTACCAAATGATCGTTGGAAATGAAACCGTAGGGGTTAATGTAACACAATCTGTCAATTGCACGAAGTCTCGTGTACCATGGACTGTGCGTTTAATTACAAATTGAATATTGTGTATTCTTAATACTTAACTACTTCAAGTGATATGAAAGTGTGATATATAGATAACAAAAAGTCAAAATATTTATAAATCATTTCTCTAAACTTTTTTTTTTTTAATGAAATTTCACGGGCAGCGTGTTCTTTCCTTAGAGCCTCCATAATCACGTGTTAAAGTTTTATATAATTTGGTGCACCCAGTTTGGAGAAAAGATTTATAAATATTTTGACTTTTTGGTAGGTATATATCATATTTTCATAACACTTTAATACCTTGTTATACTTTGACGAGACTGACTCATGATGAAAATTTTGGGCCAATCATGAACATCACAAATCAGACTCGTGATCTCAATTTCGGATAAAACAAATTTTCCTGTTTTGCAAGCATTTGTCCTCACAATTTCGACTCGTTTTCTTAAAATTTTTGTGGATCACTTGGGCCTGGATTTTTCCGAGTTAATTTGTACGGCAAAAGGTTAATTTCATAATAATATTTTAAGAACAGAAAGTTTATATATGTGTTTTTGAGATAATTTCGAAAATGACGGCAGATTTTTATCGATATCATTTTGACCTTGCCAAGATCATAGGCTTAATTTGATTGCTCTATCGCATCGGGAAGCTTATTGACGAATAAAAATGCAAATTAATGTCATAGCGTGGAACTGCTCATTGAAAAGTTGCTATCACACTGCTGGCTCAGCGGCGCAGTAGTGAGAAATGGGTAAAAAGAATAATGTTTTGATCAATACGTCTGCAATTGAAATTATACAAAGGCCCAGGCACTCTGTGATCAGAGGGAATTGAACAAGGACAATTTCAGTAAAGCAAGTTGACGGAGAAACGACAAGTGCATGTTCTTTCTTGGTTCCCATGCAAAGCCAGAGAAAGAGCTAGTCTGTAATATAACGGAAACATTTTGGATTGAAGCTTTTTATATCATAGTAGTGTAAGTTCGCCTGTTAAGAAATGGAAGCATTCCAAAAAGTGATAGGCTCATTTTATTTTATTTTTTAACAGTTGATTACTGTTTATAATTATCTTTGTATGTTAGTATTGTTATGCCCATACTAATCAGTACCAAACAAGTAAAGGCATTTTGCGAAAGAATAATTATGAATAATTAATAATAATTATATTTAACTAAGAAGTTTCATTTCCAACGTGGAGGCTGCATATCAATTTTTTTTTAATTGGAATACATTGCTGCCTAGAGATTGGGGTATTATTCAATCGTCATCCATGAGTTTGTTCATGGCGTAACCACGTCTTTTGATATTATTAAGTAATTAGATCTGAACAAGGGAAGTTAATTCTTATATTGTATACATTATTAATTTACATTAGAGTGAAAGAGAAGACGATAATGTGAGAGTACTTAGGCACGATCGACAAATTTGAAGTCTTTAATTGGGTATTCTCCTTTGAGAGCCATAACATTGGGTATTCTATAGGAATTTTATGTCTCACAGGAAAAGGAATGCAAATAATGTGGAATTTTTGTACCTTGTTCATAAGTTCATTCAGCAAGATTTAAAAAATTTTAAGTAAATAATGAAATAAATAAGATTGGTGATGGTCTCTGTAACGGCTACAGACACATAATACAGTATAATGTTGGATTAGTGCTTTTATACAAATTATTGTTTTCTATAATAGGTCTGAACTGATATGCCGGGTTAAATACTGCAACACGTTGCCTGATATTCCATTCGATCCCAAGTTCATCACGTATCCCTTTGAGTCAACGAGGTGAGTCCTATCTACAAGTGATCGAAGAACGAGGCATAAGGAGAAAATATTTTTACTTTTTAGGTTTATACAGTACAACCCAACGTCTTTAGAACGTAATTACAAATATGAAGTCTTAACCGAACATGACTTAGGAGTTGAAATTGATCTCATCAATCGGGATACATATGCCGGAGATCCTAACGCCCAGCTGGACCCTGCAGATGAGAAGCTTTTGGAGGAAGATGTTCTCACTCCGCAAGACTCCAAACGCTCGAGACACCATGCGAGAAGCGTGTCTTGGCTTCGACGCACGGAATACATTTCTACCGAGCAGACGCGGTTTCAACCTCAAACCATGGATAAAGTTGAAGCCAAAGTTGGCTACAGTATTAAGAAGAACTTTAAGGTATTAACAATATTTTGTTTAATATTCGACTATTAAAGTGATATGAAAAGTGTTGGCAAATTTCATCGACGCCTATAAAATATTCATCTATACCATTTTAGGCGGTAATGAATAAATAAATTAATCATTTTGAATACTCAAGTAGTAACATAAGCCAGTGCAAGGTTTCTCCGTTATGGTGACCCTAAGGTAGGTCCTGAAACTCGCGAAAATTAATTTTTTATTAACTATTTTTAAAATACCTATAAACAAATTTGAAAAGAATTGAAATTTCACGAGTTTCAGGACCTTCCATATAGTCTTCCTATTAATGTTGTAAAGTTTCAAACTATTCGGTAAACTGAGTTGGGAGAAAAGTTTTATAAGCAAAACCTCTTCGACGCCACTTTCACATCACCTTAAGGTGACATGCAAGTGGCATCTACAAGGTCAATTGTTTATAAAACTTTCTACGAACTGAGGGTACCGAATTGTTTCAAATGTTACTACATGCATACGAAGGCCCTAAAATAGGTACTGGCACTCACGAAATTTCATTTTTTTTAAACGAAGAATTGAAATGTTTATAGACAAATTAAAAAAAAATAAAATTTCATGGTGGTCAGGACCTTCTTTAGGACTTCCACATGCACGCTGTACAATGTCAAACGACTCGATATATCCACTTCGGAGAAAAGTTACATAAACAAGAATCCTTAGACGACACTTTCATATTACCTTAATACGATTAAATTGTCAGCAATGTCAATTCCTTATAAAATCCAGTGTTCTCTTAAAAGATATACAGATATTCTATATTCAATGAACATTAATTATTGTGCATAATATGTAGGTTATGTTACCTTCTTTACTGTATTACATATTTGTTTGTTCTATGTGTAGGAAGAGACGCTATATATGGATCGTGACAGTCAAATAAAAGCCATTGAAAAAACATTCGAGGACAATAAAAAGCCAATTGAAAAGCACTACAGTAAGCCAAACGTCGTACCCGTGGAGATTTTGCCCATCTATCCCGATTTCAAGGTATGTGAAAACGAATCTATTATTAATATTTTTGCGTCAAGCTAACACGTTATGATCGTAATTCATGATTTCTGAATACAGAGAAATTATGTGCTAATTTTGTGCCGAATTAGTTAATTTTGTACCCCGTACCATTTTTCCGAAACTTGAAATCTCAGTGTGGCCGTGCTAACTTGACGTCAAGCCGGCACGTTTCCCTCTCAAATAATGCAGAAAGATAAAAATAAGTACACCAAATTGAAGGTGAAATTATGTGCTAATTTGTGCTGTAGTCTTTTTTTTTTTTTAAGACATTTCAGAACTTTTATTTTCATTCGGCCATGCTAGCTTGACATCAAGCTGCACGTTCCATCCACAAATGGCGTAATAAGATAAAAACAAGTACACGAAATTGAAGGAGAAATATTATGTGCAAATTTTGGACTCGTTATTTTTTTTACATCGACCATTTTTTAAAAAAATTCAATTTTCGTTCCGGACGTGTTAGCTCGACGTCAAGCTAGCACGTTCCGTCCGTAAAAGACTTAATGAGATAAAAAATAAGCATACCAAATTGAAGGTGACATTATGGGATAATTTTATGTTCAAGTAATATTTTTTTACACCCACCATTTTGTCCAAAAATTAGATATATGACATAATGGTCGGTTAAAAAAAAGATTACACCACAAAGTTAGCACATAATTTCACCTTCAATTGTGCCATGCCAGTCACCGGTGACTGAAGGTACACATTATGTCGGGTAAAGTCAGATGTAGTCGGATATCGCGGGCTAAACGGAAAGGAAGACCAAATAGGCTTGGCGTTTAACGTGTTAATATACGTGAATATTCTGTCATTTCAGCTGTGGAAGTATCCGTGTGCTCAAGTAATATTCGACTCCGATCCTGCGCCAACAGGTCGCTCTGTACCTGCTCAAATTGAAGAGATGTCTCAGGCCATGATTCGGTAAGTGCACCATGTAAAAGTTTCTACACAGGAAGCATTGTTTGTGATACTGGAAGAACTCGCGATTGTTGATCAGTCCCTGGGAGTCGTAATGTTATGCCGCAGAGGGCGTTGGGATTCTTCTCGAAGAATTATTAACCCTTTGTTGGCATTGGACCTCGTTTTTATTATGCACAGTATTCACATGTGTTGGATGCACACGATGTGTTTAACTTCTAAACTTTCGTACTTCCGGGACGCGAGGCGCGCTTAGCCCTAGTCTTTTATTAACACTAGATTGCCGATGTTGGGGACTTACCTGTTTTGCCTGAAATGAGTCAATTTGACTCAAACATCGAAATTGAGTTAAAAAAAAAATTCATTTTAATGAAACTTTATTCAAAACAATTGTTACATATATATTCTGGAAGCACTCTTTACAGTACCAAGTATAATATTTCTTTTGGAGTAGGAAGTTGGCCCTGAGACGTCTTTGAATGTGGTATGACCGGGCAATCTATCGGTATTTTTACCATCTTTCAATGTTTCCCATAATGTCCCATCAGCAGCCTTTTGTGTTGAAATTGCTTCAATATCGGATCTATCCGCAGGGTCTAATTCACTTTCGGTTTCAAAATCAGGAATATATCGTACTCTTTTTTTGCCAAGAGTTATATAACGATCGCTATCGCTAGCACTCGATTCACTTTCAGATAGAAAACAAGCTCTTCTTTTTCTAGGAGCTGCATGATGAAGATTTTCATCTTCCCTGCTCGAAAATTCAATCCTATTAGCTTGATTCGCTATTTCATATAGTTCGGTATCGGATGCATCGGATTTGATGTCTGATTGGTTTCCTCCTATTTGGGTCAGTTTTTTTCGCAATTCAAGATCTCTTACATTTTTTGTCATAATAGCAACCCTTATCTGGAACTAAAATATTTATTTACATTTACGTAAATACATCTTATAAATAAATTCTGAAATTACCATGGTACACAAAAATTCTTCAAAAATAATTTATAAAATTTATTTTTTTTTGCATTACCAAAAATGCATTATTCTCTCCGATGCCATAAATCGAAATGGAAGAACACAAAGAATATTTTATCGGAGCTTTCATAAAAGTCTTCAACGAAACAGACTTGCAACAAATAATTTCACAAAATTGATTGTGCAAGTTTTCAATAGATATCTAAGTAGTACATTGACAAGTTTGAACATGAAAACTATCGAGTCGGATTGTTTACAAAAAATTTCTATGGACAAGAAATGAGTTACATGTGGGTAAAACGATCAACTTTAAAAATGTTTAATGAGTCAATTTGACTCACATCCGTCAAAATAGGTGTAGCACATATGGATTTTTGGAACTAAGGAGGGGGGAGAGGAAGGAATTAGAATTTGTATACATTTCATAATTTTATTAAAAACCAACTTATGTTTTAAAAATAAATTATTTAAGTTTTTTTACATATATAGCAATAAAATCGTAAATGAGTCAAATTGACTCGTTCCGGCAATCTAGTGTTAACGGCGTTCACCACCAAAGTGGGGACGATAACTTCCACCGCTAGATGGCATCAGCATCGAATTCGGTGGGAGGTAACCAAAACGTACTTTCTCGCTCGGATGAGGGAGACGCGACGCATAATGGGCGGTGTTTAGCAACGGGCGAAAAAGGTGTGCGGATTTTGCACGTATAGGACTCACACAACGGCTAGACGCCTCTGGACTAGGCACTGAAACGTGGGTGATACCCGGCCCCCGCACACGCCAGGTGGACGCTCCGCCTAGAGTCGGCAACGGTTGCTAAGGAATGCCCAAATTCCTCGCGAGAAACTCGAAAATCCTGAAAAAGGTGCTCCACGGGGACAACGATTTTGAGCGTATTTCTCAACCGATTGAGCTCAACGAGTGCTCGTTTTGAAGATAAAATGTTGACGTGTGTTTATATGGGAGCGATTTTCGATCAAGCACTTCCTTCCTAGGTAAAAGGGCATTGAAATTATGTCGTTGCACTTTTTTATATGAAAATGACCACTTATCGAAAATCGCTCCCATATAAACACAGGTCAACGTTTCATCTTCGATATGAGCACTCACACTGAGGGCCTCAGAAAGCATGAATCCAGAGGATTTCTGGAGTTTTACTTCGATTTCTTGATATTTATTATATGAAAACGACAGGTGTAGTATGCCATTTGGTACAATACACAATATAATTCGAAACAGCTGTCAATATAAAAACGAACGTCGGCAACGTAGGCATTTAGAAAAATCTTCTTTATCGACGTCGATCAAGATCCTCGACGTGTTTCAGTTCATCTTAACGTGGATCACGTACGCATATTAAATCTAAAAGCTCATTGGTCGGATCGTAGGTTCGGGAGGGAATTCTTTCCAGTGATTCGTCGAGGATGGTTGGGTAGGAATAATCGGTTTTCTAAGAAATTCCTGAATATTCTGTTTTTTTGGGGGAAATTGTGGAAATAACGGGATGTTTTCCGATCAAAGGTTTTGGAGCAGTTTGTGGACTCATTGTGGACAAGGATAAGGATAAGCGAGGGCGGGGTACTAGTAGACATTTATTTGGAGCGTGTTTCTTAGGAATATACTTAGGCTCTAGATACTTAGATTAATCTAAAAATTAATATTATAATAATGACGGTTAGGTCGGGACCTAACAATTAACGGGAAAAATCCTTCAGCGGCGTCTGGTCGTCAGAGACGTATATCAGGATTTTCTAGAAAGCCGTAAAATGTGTTCCCCCAGAAGGCATCCTGTGTCTTTAACGAAAACCCTCCAAAAGGGACTCTTTGAGAATGCCTGTACTCAAGTTTATTGTCCCCTTTCGTGAATTGCTCGGGTCCTTCGGTGAGAAGGACCTATGATTGCACTTTTTAAAGAACAAGAAATGACTCCTAATTATAGATCTTCTTTTACTATATGTACTTTCTTTTTTTGCACTTCTTATTTTTAAGGGGATGTGGAAGTGGCATCCGAGGGGTCAATCGTTTATCAAACTTTTCTCCGAACTGTGTGTACGAAATTGTTTGAAACTTCGCAACGTGAAGATAGAAGATATAAGGAAGGTCCTGATACTAATGATATTTCATTTTTTATAACAATTTTTAAAAATATCTATGAACAAATTTGAAAAATAATGAAATTTCATGAGTTTCGGGACCTTCCTTACACCCTCCATACTTACATTGTAATATTTGAATCGAAATTTGGAAAATAATGAAATTTCATGAGTTTCGGGACCTTCCTTACACCTTCCATACTTACATTGTAAAATTTGAATCGATTCGGTACACCCAGTTCGGAGGAAAGTTTCATAAACGAGATCTCTTTGACGTCACTTTCACATCACCTTAATACACGTACAGTTTTGCATTTAGTAATGTAGTTTTACAACTGAAAAATTGGGCAAAACAATGACAAAATAAGTAATTAAAAAAATTTAGAAGAACTACAATTTAAGTATGCATATATTTCGCTAGAATGTTGTTTGCTTCATTTTTCACTTTTTCCATTTCTTCTGAATATTTAAAAGTATAAAGTAGAAGTGATGAAATATAATATTAAAAAACAATAATTTCACATTCAGGTAGACAAATAGTTTTTACCAACTTTTTCGTCATTTTTGTCACGCACAGGGGGGGGGGGTATTCTCTTTTTTTTTTAATCAACACAAATGACTCCTAATCATCACCCGTACTATCACAACACGAACAATACAAATACCAGCATAAATACAAATCATCATTATGTTCCGTACAAATATGATATTTTTATGATCTTGAATTAAGAAATTTGTACATGTTAAATTTTGTATTATATGTATTTTGTAACGCCTAGTGTAACTTGTGTAATTAAAAATATTTAATGTTAAAGGGGCGTTATGGACGAAAGCGGAGAACAGTTCGTGGCATATTTCTTACCATTGGACGAGACTTTGGAGAAGAGAAGAAGAGATTTTACAGCAGGGTTAGATTACGCGGACGAAGAGGAATATGATTACAAAATGGCCAGAGAATATAATTGGAACGTGAAAAGCAAGGCCTCCAAGGGATATGAAGAGAATTACTTCCTTGTTATTCGACAAGATGGGGTACGTCAATTCTTTTTTTTTTTATCCTATCTACTTATCTCGCCAAACACGGTTACATAACAATATAACCGTTACAAAACGTTTGTAACATGTAATGTAATATACATATAACATATAAGTAATCTTTGTATTACTATTTCCTACACGGCTATATAACACTGTTATAAAACGAATAATGTAACGTCAACATAACATATCGGTAACATGTTATGTTATGTTCATGTTGTACATCTGCAATGGTAACAAGTTTGTAACAATGTTACCAATCGGTAATGCTTCGACGTTATATCATATTAATGTATATTTTAAATAATATTCGTTATATATCATGTTATTCCAATGTTATGTAATTGCAACATAGTGTGTTTAGTGAGATGCTATGTTCTCTTCGGAACGGCAAAACTTTTGACTGAAACACTTTTCTCTAAAATGCTTTCTTTTCAAAATATAAGTTTGTAACACCTTAATTGACTCATCCGATACATGAAAATACTCGCGAAATACAGACAATAAAGGGAAGGCAACAATCGTTTGTGTTTAGGTGTATTACAATGAACTGGAAACACGCGTGAGGCTCAGCAAACGTCGTCAAAAAGCAGGGCAGCAACCAAACAACACTAGATTGGTTGTACGTCATCGACCACTTAATGCCAACGAATTTCGAATGCAACGCTATCGCGAGAAGCAACTCGAGCCTCCAGGAGAAGAAGATGAGGACGAGGAAGATGAAGAGGAAGAAGAAGAGGAGGACCAGCAGGCAGAGCCTGAAAAGACGGAGGAAAAAGGTTTGGGCTTACTTAACACTTTGCCGGCCGTTCATTTGTCGTATGGCGAGATTCACTCAGGTTCTACTGCTCGTCTACGGTGATATTACAGAAAAATTGAATTTTTTTTCAAACACCGAGCTAGCACAAAATTTTCGAGTGTAGCACATAATTAGGACATAAAGAGCACAAAATGTTAAGGTGAACTGAAACATCCTTCAAATCAGTCGATTCGAATACAACACTTTTTTTTAAGAGTATTAGACCAAACTGTCCGAAACTTTGATACGAAAAATTCTTTAACTCAGTCCAGACCAGAACCAAAATGGCGTCGAGCTCTCATATTTCGACCAATATACAATTATCGAAGGCTCTGATATGAGAATCGAAAGAGTCAGGGCAATTTTACGACAATTTAGAACACTCTGGTAATCGATAAACTCGCATTTGAACGGGATAAAGGCAAAAAGAGTGTTGTATGCGCTTCTTTGCTAAAACGATGGGAATGCGAGGTCTCGGAGTGAAAATTTAATTTACCTGGAAATCACAGATGGCGCAGGGGGTCCCTCTGCAGTCAATTAGGGCCCCAGAATGCATGAATCCAGAGGATTTCTGGAGTTTTACTTCGATTTCTTTATAATTATTGTACGAAAACGACAGGTGGAATATGCCATTTGGTATAATACACAATATAATTAGATCCAACTGTCAATATAAAAACGAACGTCGGCAACGTAGGCATTTAGAAAAATCTTCTTTATCGACGTTGATCAAGTTCCTCGACGTGTTTCACTTCACCTTAAGACAAAGAAATTTGAATTTTGTAAAGGTGGGGGTGCCAGCTTTACGCACCTGTGATATTTACCCAATAGTCGCAATATAATAATTATTAAAAAAGGCATCGAGATAACTGTTTTCCAGGTCAATTAAGTTTTCACTCCGAGACCTCGTATTACCATCGTTTTAGTAAAGAAGCGCATACAACACTTTTTTTGCCTTTATCCCGTTCAAATGCGAGTTTATTGATTACCAGAGTGTTCTAAATTGTCGTAAAATTGTCCTGACCCTTTCGATTCTTATATCAGAGCCTTCGATAATTGTATATTGATCAAAATATGAGAGCTCGACGCCATTTTGGTTCTGGTCTGGACTGAGTTAAAAAATTTGTTTGAAAAATCCAAATTTTTAATGTGCCAGGACAATTCTTAGCTGATCAGGAGTGATGTGTCAAAGTTTCTGACAGTTTGGTCTAATACCCTTAAAAAAAAGTGTTGTATTCGAATCGACTGATTTGAAGGATGTTTCACTTCACCTTAATTGAGAAATAAATATTTATCGAATTGATGTGCCGGATTTTCGCGTTAAGTATTCGGTGCCGTTCGCGCGGGCTTTTAAATGTATTTGGCGCGAAACTCTACCGAGTTTCCTGATTTCATAACGAGCCGCAGATGACAAGAATATTTATGTTCAACGTTTGTTCTGTTTCAGTCGCTTCGGACAACGAGCCTGCATCGCGTGCCTCTTCTCGAGCTTCATCTCGTGCCTCTAGCAAGAAATCACATTCCAAGTCTCGATCGAAATCACAGAGTCCGTCTCGATCGCAATCTAAGTCGCGGTCACCTTCTCGTTCTCCTAGTAAATCCCGGTCTCGATCTGGGTCCCCTCAATCGAGGAATTCTTCCAAGTCAAGGTCTCCATCTAGATCCCGTTCTGCCTCGAGATCGCGGACCGGATCGCCTGCTAGATCTCGATCCAGATCTAAATCAAAGTCTCGGTCGAGATCGAGATCTAGATCAAAGTCCAAATCCCGATCGCGCTCCAGATCGGGCAGCGGAAGCGGCAGTGGAAGCGCAAGTGGAAGTAGCGAGAGCGGATCTGAGAGCGAATAAATAATGGCATTCAAACTTTAGATTGAGCAAAAAATGCTGGATCCAAATTTTAAAAACGCATGATCCTTTATTGACAATAGGGTTAATCTGGTGGTTAGAGGCAGCGATGCGACGAGTCGAATACTTTAACAACTCGAGTTACTTGAGTTCGAAGGCATTGCCAACTCGAGTTTGGACTCGAGTCGATAAACTCGGTGCTGCATACATTCGACGCGGCGAGTAGAGTCCATAGCGAGTTGGCGAGTGAAACAACTCGATTGACTACGACTCGAGTCGAAGTGAAATGACGAGTCGAGTCAATGGCGAATAAAATACCTCGATTAACGGCGTCTGAAGTTACTCAAACATTACCAACTCGAATCGACGACTCGAGTCGAAGTGAAATGACGAGTCGAGTCAATGGCGAATAAAATACCTCGATTAACGGCGTCTGAAGTTACTCAAACATTACCAACTCGAATCGACGACTCGAGTCGAAGTGAAATGACGAGTCGAGTCAATGGTAAATAAAATAACTCGATTAACGGCGTCTGGAATTACTAGAACATTGCCAACTCGAATCGATGACTCGAGTCAAAGTGAAATGACGAGTCAAAGCCGAATAAAATAACTCGATTAACGGCGTCTGGAGTTACTCGAACATTGCCAACTCGAATTGACGACTCGAGTCAAAATGAAATGACGAGTCAAAGGCGAATTAAATAACTCAATTAACGGCGTCTGGAATTACTACAACATTGCCAACTCGAATCGACGACTCGAGTCAAAGTGTAATGACGAGTCAAAGGCGAATAAAATAACTCGATTAACGGAGTCTGGAGTTACTCGAACATTACCAACTCGAATCGACGACTCGAGTCAAAGTGAAATGATGAGTCAAAGGCGACTAAAGTAACTCAATTAACGGTGTCGGGTGTTACTAGAACATTACCAACTAGAATCCACGACTCGAGTCAAAGTAAAATGACAAGTCAAAGGCGAATAAAATAACTCAATTAACGGCGTCTGGAGTTACTCGAACATTACCAACTCGAATCGACGACTCGAGTCAAAGTGAAATGATGAGTCAAAGGCGACTAAAGTAACTCAATTAACGGCGTCGGGTGTTACTCGAACATTACAAACTAGAATCCACGACTCGAGTCAAAGTAAAATGACAAGTCAAAGGCGAATAAAATAACTCAATTAACGGCGTCTGGAGTTACTCGAACATTACCAACTCGAATCGACGACTCGAGTCAAAGTGAAATGATGAGTCAAAGGCGACTAAAGTAACTCAATTAACGGCGTCGGGTGTTACTCGAACATTACAAACTAGAATCCACGACTCGAGTCAAAGTAAAATGACAAGTCAAAGGCGAATAAAATAACTCAATTAACGGCGTCTGGAGTTACTCGAACATTACCAACTCGAATCGACGACTCGAGTCAAAGTGAAATGATGAGTCAAAGGCGACTAAAGTAACTCAATTAACGGCGTCGGGTGTTACTCGAACATTACAAACTAGAATCCACGACTCGAGTCAAAGTAAAATGACAAGTCAAAGGCGAATAAAATAACTCAATTAACGGCGTCTGGAGTTACTCGAACATTACCAACTCGAATCGACGACTCGAGTCGAAGTGAAATGACGAGTCGAGTCAATGGCAAATAAAATAACTCAATTAACGGCGTCTGGTGTTACTCGAATCGACGACTCAATACCGCATATTCGGCGCGACGAGTCGAGTCAATGGCGAGTAAAATGACTCGATTAACGGCGACACGAGTTGAAAAGATATAACAATTCGAGTACTTTATCGACTCGAGTTACTCGATCATCGACGAGTCGAGTCAATGGTAAGTTGGAGAGTAAAACGACTGCATTAACGACGACTCGAGTCGTAGCGAAATAACGAATCGAGTACTTCATTAACTCGAATTACTTGAACATCGACGAGTCAAATCAGTAGCGAGTTGACGAGCAAAACGACTCGAGTCCAAGCGATATAACGAGTCGAGTACTTCATCGATTCGAGTTACGCAAACATTGCCAACTCGATGCTGCATATATTCAACGCGACGAATCGAGTCAATGGCGAATTGCAGAGTAAAACAATTCGAATAACGATTACTCGAATAAACATATAGGGCTCGATTGGTATATCGGTGTGAGTAAGTCGGTCTCACTCTTATTCTCGTAACTTGCATTCGTTTGTACTAATAACTCGAGTTGCGATAAAAACGACTCGAGTTGACTCGAGTTAAAATACTTGACTCGTCTCATTGCTAGTTAGAGGACACTTTTAGAATGTTCCCGAATTACTAACTCAGGAGTATAGGGTAAAATAGAGGATATGGTACCGTCGGTCAAATCGTACCATTACGATATTTAAGAAGATACGTTTAGAAATAGCCATTTAACTGAAAAATTATAAACCTAAACTTGCATTATTTGTTTATATCTATTTGATGGTAGCATCGGTGATTACTGAAGTCAGGGGCATATTATATTAGTTCGTTAACGTGTTACTAATTTTACCGCTTTGTCTCTAATCAGTATCAACCATGTGAGGTACGTTCAAACATTCCCTAGTAGCACCGAATAATTTCTAAATATTTTTTGTAATCTTGCTAAACATCTCAAGCGACAGATTTTTCAAGATGTCTTGTAGATTTCATTTGAAGATATTTCCTGCGCTAAGATGAAGGTATTGGGAGATCTTGGAGAGAAAATTTAGTTAGCACTGAATGCAGATATGACGGTGGGTGGCACTCTGTAGTCAATTAGTGTATCAAAAATCACGAACCCAGGAGATTCCTAATTTTACTTCGACAACGTAAGGTGAAATGAAACACCCCTCAAATCAGTTGATTCGAATTAGACACTTTTTTCTAAGAATATTGGACCAAACTATCCGAAACATTGATACATAACTCGCGAGCGCCTGAAAATTATCCCGACACTTTCAAACTTTGGATTTTCCACAAAAAAATGTTGACTTAGCCTAGACCAGAATCAAAATGGAGTTGGACTTTCATATTTCGATTGATATACAATTATTAAGGTGAAGTGAAACACGTTGAGGAACTTGATCAACGTCGATAAAGAAGATTTTTCTAAATGCCTACGTTGCCGACGTTCGTTTTTATATTGACAGCTATATCGAATTATATTGGGTATTGTGCCAAATGGCATATTCCACCTGTCGTTTTCGTACAATAATTATAAAGAAATCGAAGTAAAACTCTAGAAATCCTCTGGATTCATGCCCTCTGGGGCCCTAATTGACTGCGGAGGGACCCCCTGCGCCATCTGTGATTTCCAGATCAATTCAATTTTTACTCCGAGACCGCGTTTTTCCATCGTTTTGATATAGACGCGCATACAACACTTTTTTTGCCTTTATCGCGGTCAAATGCAAGTTTATCGATTACCAGAGTGTTCTAAATTGTCGTAAAATTGTCCTGACCCTTTCGATTCTCATATCAGAGCCTTCGATAATTGTATATTGATCGAAATATCAAAGCTCGACGCCATTTTGGTTCTGGTCTGGACTGAGTTAAACAATTTTTTTGAAAAATCCAAATTTGGAATGTGTCAGGACAATTCTTAGATGATCAGGAGTGATGTGCCAAAGTTTCGGACAGTTTGGTCTACTACCCTTAAAAAAAAGTGTTGTTTTCGAATCGACTGATTTGAAGGATGTTTCACTTCACCTTAAAGGCTTCGATATGAGAAATTAAAGTTAGGACAATTGTAGAACAATGTAGAACACTCTAGTAGTCGAGAAACTCGCATTTGGACGGAATGAAGGTAAAAAAAGTGTTTTATGTGTTTCTGTGTTAAAATGATGGTAACACGAAGTCTGGGAAAGAAAATTTAGTTAGTACTGAATCACAGACGGTTGGCACTTCGTGTGGGAACACTAGTATTCGATCGTGCCGTTTTGGCAGTGGCGCTGTTGACTCGTTTGAGAGCCGAGAAGTAATGGCGGCAGAGCGGGAGTCCTTCAACCATATGAAGAAAAGTTTATTTGTGTCTATTAACCGAAGGTGATTTTTCCTACGGTTTTGCGTTTCGCCCCGGGTCTGCATGTGGACTAATCAGTAAGGCCAGACACAGAAAAATCTCTTTAAGATGTGAGCGAGATTTGAATCCGCGAGCCCGGATTTATGGAATTTTAAATCGATTTTGTTTATAGTAATTGAACGGAAACGATACGTGGAGTATGTCGTTTGGTACAGTACCCGATATTATTCGACACAACTGTCGATATGAATTCGAACGTCGGTACTGTAGGTATTTAAAAGAATCTTCTTTACCGACGTCGATCAAATTTCTCGACGCGTTTCACATCACCTTAAGAGTCTCACGTCATCTTAAAGTAAAGTTACAATCACGCTTTTACAGCCCTGAGGCGAATCAGGCGATTGTTTGAAAAACCTTTTAAAAGTTCCTTCGAACCACTAGATAAAAATAATTCGTCAATAAAGAATAATGACGTTTTAAAATTCTTGGAGCAGGACTTTTTGCCCAATCTAATAATTACTGACAAAATGAAGTTATTGTTTAGATATTACCTATCATATTACTTGTAGCATAGAAAGTTCGTTATACAGTAAATAGTTCCATATGATTAGAATAATAGTGGTTTTACATTATGAATGTAGAGTGATGAATGTAGAAATTTCAATTGTTACTCTAATAAGTATAGATATACAGTTTTTTGCCTTTGCCGGCAAAATCTTGGGTTTGCATAAATCGGGTTTAAGTCACACATATCTCGCGTCAGTAGCGCAACAATGGGCATATAAATATGTCAAATTATCGACATAGGACGTCGTATTAAACTTTCTGGAATTTGATTGGCCAGTTTTTACTGTTGTTACGTAGGCACCCTTTACGCTTCTAAAATTTCGAAATAATAACCCGGGATTCCGTAGACTAGTACGTGTTTGAAAAATAAGGATCTCATATTTTCGCTGAACTAACGATGTGAGAGCTACTTGCGGAAAATGAGGGAACTCCAATTCTACGTGACCAAAACATTTCCTTTACGTAAATGATCTAAAATACTTTTAATTTTGCAATTAATGTACGCAAAACGAAACGATAATCTGCGTATGATATACAGGATATGATATTTTTAACGTGATAAGGACTAGCAGACCCGCTAGCATCGGATAATTTTGAATTCCAAAATTTCATCTCGACACTAGATAAGAAAAGATCTGAACATCTTGGACCCCTACAATGGGGACGATTTTAGTACATGGCGTTGCACACTGGCATTCATCGATGTCTACCTAGAGTTCGAAAATTCTCGGTAACATTAAGGTGAAGTGAAACACCCTGCAAATCAGTCGATTCGAATACACCACGTTTTTTTAAGGGTATTAGACCAAACTGCCCGAAACTTTGACACGTCACTCCTGATCATCTAGAAATTGTCCTGACACATTCAAAATTTGAATTTTTCAAAAAAATTGTTTAACTCAATCCAGACCAGAACCAAAATGGCGTCGAGCTCTCATATTTCAATCAGTATACAATTATCGAAGGCTCTGATATGAGAAAAGAAAGGGTCAGAACGATTTTACAACAATGTAGAACACTCTGGTAATCGATAAACTCGCATTTGAACGGGATAAAGGCAAAAAAAGTGTTGTATACGCTTCTATGCCAAAACGATGGTAATACGAGGTCTCGGAGTGAAAATTTAATTGACCTGGAAATCACAGATGGCGCAGGGGGTCCCTCTGCAGTCAATTAGGGCCCCAGAATGCATGAATCCAGAGGATTTTTGGAGTTTTACTTCGATTTCTTTATAATTATTGTACGAAAACGACAGGTGGAATATGCCATTTGGTACAGTACCCAATATAATTCAACCCAGCTGTCAATATAAAAACGTACGTCGGCAACATAGGCATTTAGAAAAATCTTCTTTATCGACGTTGATCAAGTTTCTCGACGTGTTCCACTTCACCTTAAATTGGAGAAGGTAACTGTGAAACATACCGTAAGTTACCGGGAACATTGAGAATTTAAGAGAACATTAATTTTGTTATTTATACTTTACGTTTCTTCGTTTAAATTATTTTTTTTTTCAATCAACTTCAAAGTTCAAGCTGTAGAGTAATAATTATTATTAGAAAATATTGATTATAGGGTCGTATTTACCTCCAGCTAAAAATATTCACGTATCTACAACTTTACGGAAAATTCCATGCGATTTGTTTCAAATGAACTAATATTTCATTCTGCGACGAAGCGAATGGAAGGTTTTGATTGGCTACGGAGAATGTGCAACGGAAATTCCCCTCTACGATGTTTCTCTATAGCTAATCGAAACCTCTCGTTCGATCTGTTGAAAAATTCAAATTCTCATAATTTCTCGATAAAAAAAGCTTTGGAGAAATTACCGATAAGTTACCGGGAATTTCTCTTCGTTTCTGACGTAACTTACAGGATTTAGAACTCTATCTCTACCCCGCGGACCTACTGCCCTCTCCGGCCACGCTGCATACTAACGGCTGAAGCAGCGCGGAATTTGAATCGCCCAATGGGCAGAATGGATTTCCCAAGGACAATAAATGTGAATAAACAAAGACAACTAACGAAAATTATTTAAATAGTGTGACGCGTCCCTGGCCCACTTAACGTAGTTTTTGTTAAATGATTATTTACAGAATCTCTTATTAACCTTGGCGGGAGCACGAGGACGGAGGGTCGGTGCGGTAATGGGACTGCATACTTGTGTCTCTTTATCCGCCCTGGAAGTCGTGTGTCCAAGTGAGATAGCCTATTTGATGCGCTATCCTTTGAATTTGAAGGACAGACTTATGTGACCGGGTTTCGGACCCTGACCAGGAATAGGCTTCCCTTCGCTGGGGACGGCTCGGGGCTTGAGAATTCTAGACGTGGTGTTTCTCTCTTACTCCTGCGGGTCGCAAAGACTCCGGGCTTCCACTACCACTTGCAAAACTCCAGTCCCGAGCCTTCGACCTCCTGCTGTGAGGGTCTCGATATCGGTTTAGCACCAATATTTTTACCCTGGTGAGGAAAATTTTCTTCCTACTCCGGAATACGGACTCGTGCCTTTCGGATCGGTGTTCGCTCTTGTTCTCTCGCAGGGCTTGTGCCTCTCGACGGCGTTCTCGCTTGCACTCGTTCACCCTCGGGGCTTATAGCCCCTTCCTTCCGCAGCTTGCAAGGTAGATTGTCATTTTACGACAACCGCGATCAAGTAATTCACAGAGGGAATGGAGGATCGATTCCTCCACGAGAACTGTCGTCTCGAATTAACTGTGCCATCTGGTCGTAACGTTAACCCTTCGTTGTCCATGTCTTTTTCGGACATGTAATTTTATGACTTGTATTTGTATTTAAAATGCAAGTAAACAATTTAATTTCATCAGTTTTTGTGAAAGTGGCTATTTCAAGTTATGCGTGTTGTTTAACTTTTTCGAGAGTTGATTCAGTTGATAGAACACGTATCATTCTGACCGATTCTTTTCTAATATTCTCATATCTCTGGAAGTATTTAATTTCAAATGGAAATAGATTCAAAATCTATTAAAAATTGGAAGTACGAAATAGTTAATTGTTCTTATTTGAAATACGAAATAGAAAATGGTGTTTTACGTTTTGGATACCGCTTTCGAATGAATTCAATTCATAAAAGTTACTCCGATTTGCGTTTATAAAAAAACTCGGAGAAGAAAAGTCTTTCTTATGTTTACGGGGTTCATTTACATGCTCATTTAATGATTTACAGGTGTCCAGTTATTCGAGGAACACGAAGAATGGCGTAGAACGTAAATATATAAGAGACATGAAATCATGATTCCGCTTCTATGTCCAAAAATGGATGGAATAAAAATTTACCTACGGCATTTCACTGCATAATTATTAACAAACTATTTTTTTAAACTAAGATAATATTCTTACTTCGGTTCAGTGGATGGAACAATTGAATTGCTAAGGAACTTGATAACATTTAATAAAACATTTTATTATATTCTTTAAAAAAATCTGTAAATTATCATTTAACAAA